CGCGTGCGTCCGCGGCTCCGGAGGCTGCAGCTGGGGTCTCTGGGCTCGGTCTTCAGGGGCCGGAGTGACCGGAGCAGCGGCCAGGGAGACTCACTGTACCCCGTCGGGTACTTGGACAAGCAGGTGCCGGACACCAGCGTGCAGGAGACGGACCGGATCCTGGTGGAGAAGGTACCGCCCGCCCCCCGCCGTCCTGCCCGCGCCGCGCTCCGCAGCCGGCCGTTGCCCTGACTGCTTTGGTCCTCAGTCAGAATGCTTAACAACCGGAGAATAAGGAGATGTCCGGGCCGGACGCTGCACCGCAGCCACTCAGGAGGCTGAGATCTGAGGATCGCGGCTCAAAGCTCGAAGCCAGCCCGGGCCAAAGGCCGTGAGACTCTGATCTCCAATGACCCACCGGAACACTGGAAGTGGCGCTGTGGGTCAGTGGTAGACCGCTCGCGCCCAGGCCCTGAGTTCAGGCCCTCCTCCCCCCCAAAAAAAAAAACCCACAAACCAGTAAGATAAAGTGTGGAAGGAGGTCGAAAATGGTCGGTGGCAACACCTTCCAGTAGAGAATTCACCCTTTTCTGCTTAAATTCCAGGACTCCACACGTGTAATCGGCCAGGATGTACTATGGGGCTTTAATTTACTGCCTTCATTCGTCATCCTGAACGCAGTCACCATCCCAATCTCAGATTGTTTGCAGTGGACTTAAGAACTCATGTGTGCTGTGTATGTATTTATGCCTACATATGTATGCACACAGACACGCAAACACTGAATTCTTTTGAGGTGTAGTTTATGTATACCACGGTCAACTACTAAAGCATGCGTTCTCCACCTTAGCATTGTTGACATTTGGGGCATTGGTTGGGGGCTGGAGGGAGCTATGCTGTGTGTGCCAGTAGCTCTCTTTCCAAGTTGTGACAATAGCAGATGTTGTCTCCCCATGGCACACTGCTTCCAGTTGAGATCCTCTAAACGATCTGGTGAGCTTTAACAGTCAGTATCCTCATGAAACCACTACTGCACCCCTTTCTGCAGTAAAATTCTAAGTGGTCTCAATTCTACCTTGCACCTTTCTTTAATCCAATCTAACATAGCAGTCATCTGAGTCATATTAGTAATCCTAGTTACTAGGAAGTTGAGACTAAGAAGGATCACGGTCTAGGCTGGCCTAGGCAAAAACTCAAGACCCTATCTGAAAAACTTCTAAAGCAAAAAAGGGTTGGAGGTGTGGCTCACGTGGTGAACACCTGACTGGCAAGCTTGAGGGCCTCACTTCCAAGACCAGATAAAAGCAGGCCACATGCCAATCCTAGTTGATCAGGAGTCTGATAATTTTGAGTATCACTGTTTTGAAGCAGGAAAAGTCTGAAATGCTATTTCCAATTAACCACCAAAAAGCCAGAAGTGGACCTGTGACTCAAGTGGTACAGCACTAGCACTGAGTGAAAAATCTCAAGGACAGCGAGCGCCAGGGCCCTGAGTTCCAGCCCCAGGACCAGTAAAAAATAAATAAATAAAACAAACCATAAGTTCCATCGTTCCTACTCAGTTACTCTCAATTATTAGTGAACATTCTCTCATATCAGCCTTCTATTATGACAGTGATTTTATTATCTTGGAAACTGTCAAATATGTATCCCAAGTATCTAGAATGGTGCTTGAAAACTTTGTTTTCATTTCTCTTACTATTGCTTATTCCTATTTGACTTTTGTTTCGTGAAATACATGTGGTTTTTCACATGAAAATGAAGAAGCCATTATAGATCGTTTTATTGTTAAGTATTCTATACTTTTTCATCTTGGCACATTAAGGTACTTAATAAATACACAAATTATCAAACTATTTCAGAAAGATTATAAAATAACTTTATGACCATTCCATTGTATGGATGATTTGTAAGGAACCATATCAAATATAGTTCAACTGTAGCTCCCGTACTTTGCTGTATGGGAGTTTGAACTCAGGGCCTCACTCTCTTGTTAAGCTTTTTCTGCTAAAGGATGTCACTTTACTACTTAAGCCACTCCTCTTCCAGCTTTTTGCTGGCTAATTAGAGATGTCTCAGCTTTATCTCCTTGAGCTAATTTTTTTTTTTTTTTTGGTCAGTCATGAGGCTTGAACTCTGGGCCTGGGTGCTGTCCCTGCTCTTCAGCTCAAGGCTAGTGCTCTACCACTTGAGCCACAGCACCACTTGCGGGTTTCTAGTGGTTTACTGGAGATGAGTCTTGCCCGGGCTCCTCAGATCTCAGCCTCCTTAATAGCTAGGATTACAGGTGTGAGCCACCAGTGCCTGGCATAAGCTAGCTTTAAACCACCAAGATCCTCACATTTCAACACCTGAGCTAACCATGTCTGGCAAATTTGGTATTGTTATCAGTACTTTCCATATGATTTGATTGCTAATTTCCATAGGGGATTTTCTAACTACTCTTGCACCCTATTTTGGCAGTGCTTCTATGTTTGAACTTAGAACCTCAGACTCACTGACCTCACTCCAGGCTGGCACTATGCCACTTTGAGCTACACCTCCACTTCTGGCTTTTGGTGTCTAATTGAAAATAAGAATCTCATGGACTTTCCTGCCAGGCTGGCTTCAAACTTAAAATCTCCAGCCCCTGAATAGCTAGGATTGTAAGTGTGTACAATGTTATGTCAGTTGGATCATCTATTAAAACCTTAAAACCTGTTTTATCTGTTATTGACTGAGGTATACTGTCTTCAACTATGTGGATTTGCCTATTTCTTCAGTTACAAAAGGGGCAGTGATGAGCTGCCTAAGTATAAGAAGAAACGCAGGAAAATCTTTAGCTAAAATCACATGAAAGGAAAAAAAAAGTATCTGAGCCAGGTATAGGTGGCTCAGGGCTATAATCCTAGCTGCTCAGGAGGGAGACCAGGATTGCAGTTTGAAGTCAGACAGAACAAAAAAGTCTGCAGACTCCATGTGTCATAATCTGCAAAAAAGGAGTGGTTCATGGTAATCAGAAGGCCCCAAGTTCAACCCCAGTACCAGCTTCCCCCACTGCTGCCCCCCCCCCCCAAAAGATACCCAGGAAACATCCAGAACAATGCTAACAAGAGAGGGCACTTTTTTCTATAGTAGAAGGGAGAACTCGTGTTGCAGACATGAAGGGAAGGGTATTGGAGTTTGGTCTGCTCACTCAGGAAGGAACTGGGAATTCTGATCATTGGACAGACTTGTGGTAGGTACAGGACGTACCCACCAGCATGTAAATCGTATGTGTGTTTCAGCGCTGCTGGGACATCGCCCTGGGCCCCCTCAAACAGATCCCCATGAACCTCTTCATCATGTACATGGCCGGCAACACCATCTCCATCTTCCCTACCATGATGGTGTGCATGATGGCCTGGCGGCCGGTCCAGGCCCTCATGGCCATTTCAGCCAGTAAGTATGCTTTAGAGTTTTTAATCATCTCTGAAGTAGCTGTACAAAGGAATTTCCACTTAACAAGGGAGGTTTTGAATATAACTTGATCAGTGTCACCCCTCCCCAGCCCTTCCCTCACTCTTAATTTGTAGGGTACACATTGCAGTATCCCCCTCTGCATTTGTCCACCCTTTTCCCCTTGACCCCACTCCACCTCTTCCAAGTACCTACTTCCTGGTGTTTTATTTTGCTGAACTTTGATCAGTAAGTACTGTTTTTTGTTTTTGCCAGTCCTGGGGCTTGAACTCGGGGGCTAGGCACTGTCCCTGAGCTGCTTTTAATCAAGGACAGCACTCTTACCACTTGAGCCACAACACCACTTCTGGCCTTTTCTATCTATGTAGTACTGAGGAATCAAACCCAGGGCTTCATGCTTGCTAGGCAAGTGCTCTACAACTGAGCCAACTTCCCAGTCCCCAGTACTGTTCTTCAATAATAACCTGAATTTTAATAATTGAAGACACAATTTTGGGTATAATTTTTGGTTAGAGGCTTTGCAGGGTACAAGTGTTGGTAGTGGTAAGTAGTGATCCTAATTTTCTCTTCACCTTTGGTGATCCACTTTGCCCTCTTACTGAGAGTCTACCTCTATCAACAAATGGCTGGCTTGATTCACACTGAGGGGAAGAAAGTGACTGGGGTTGTGACAGCTTCTGTTATCTCAACAGCTTTCAAGATGCTAGAGAGTTCAAGTCAGAAGTTTCTTCAGGGTCTGGTTTATCTCATTGGGAACCTGATGGGCTTGGCACTGGCTGTTTACAAGTGCCAGTCCATGGGGCTGTTACCTACACACGCGTCAGATTGGTTAGCCTTCATCGAGCCTCCAGAGGTAAGGCTAAAGAAAAGCTGAATTTGGAGCAACTGTTATACAGAGTGGCTAGCTGCCTCATCTATCGGATGGTAGGAAACTAAAGAGTTGGTATTAGGGTTTGCTTTTTTGTGGGGGTGGGGAGGGCATTCCTACCGCTTCAACTCAGGGCCTGGACACTGTCCCTGACCTTTTGCTCAAAGCTAGCATTCTATCACTTGGGCCACAGCGCCACTTCTGGCTTTTTCTGTGTATGTGGTGCTGAGGAATTGAACCCAGGATCTCATGCATGCTAGTCAAGCACTCTACCACTAAGCCACCTTCCCAGCCCCTAGAATACATTTCTTCAGTAATAAAAGCTAGTAGGAATTTGGAAATTATAAGGCAAACTACAGCTTGCTATTAAAAGTATTAACTACTTGATTCCAGAAGTTATTTTAATATTCATTCATCACTCACTTCCTGTTTCTTCTTTCAGAGAATGGAGTTCAGTGGTGGAGGACTCGTTTTGTGAACTTGAGAAAGAAGCTCCTTGAACCTAAAGTAAATGGACCTTATTTATATCCTGCTCTAGGCCTAGTAGCTCCTAAATGTGCTCACTCTTAAAATAACCACTGACAATACCCAAAATCTCTTTTCCATGGTGAGGAGACAAACGCTAAATGATAATATGACTACAAATACAAAAGAAAATCTTACCACAACCCCTGCCTGAAAATAATGTAGAAAACTTTATTTATGTGTCAGTACAGAGCAAAACAATACAAGCAGAACTATGTAAACAGGAGTGTTTCAATAAATTAAATGCTTTTAAAAAGTTGCACAAATTTCCTTTGAATCTATATTTTACTGCTATTTAACATAAGCTGAAATAATTCTATTGGGGACGCATGTGGGAAAAGTGAGAAACCAATGCTGTATGCAAATTAAACATGATGAAAAGAAAAAACGAGAAAAAAGAGCACGTAAATATGCTTACAGGGTAACTATGACTTCTAAGACCCACAATGAGGAGTATTTAACGCGGGGATGGGGGTGGATGATTGGTGGGATCCCTGGAGCCACAGGAACTGAAGGCAATGGAATCGACAGTGGTGACCTTTCCCGTGCTGGGGGAGGTGCCCCTGTCCAGCAAACCTGTTGTTAAATGCCAGCTTTGAAGACGGCTGTATATGGAAGGCAGGGCCCGTGGTGGTAGAACGTGTATTTCTATAACCTGCCCTGGAAGTCCTCGTATCCAAGAGGCAGGAGAAGATCTTTCTCTTCCCTCTTGAAATATAAATCCCCTTTCCCTAAGGTGCATTCTCTCTCATCAAGTTTTTATATTGCTTTTTATTTGCAGTGATTAAAAGAGACAAGACGCTTTGCAGACAAAACAACCTAAGCAACACATACACACGAAATGCACTAGACAGATCAGTAAATCTGGCCTAATAACCATTTTCCATGTAACAGTGATTTTGTTTTAGGGCCTGAAATAATGGTTTTGCAAATATCCACTAATTCCCTTATTTCTTTAAAAAGATTCTTCGCTCCAACCACAAACAGCCCTTCTGAAATTAACCTTATATTTCACAAATACTGGTCTATATTCTGTATGGAAAAAGTATCTATCAGTTTGGCCAAGGGTACATGTGAACGCTGAACAAGTCCTGGGCAGGCTGACCTTTTGCAGATGCTGGACCTCAGGAGACCTGACCCATTACTGCTGTGCTCACCTATGAATGGAGTGTCGCCTTGGGATCTGTAAACAGTTCCTGAACAAACCATTTTTTGTTCTGAAAGCCATACTGAAGCGTTTTTTCTGTTTCTGGGCCAAATGATCTGTGAGACTTAGTGTCAGCTTTGTTCCTACTCAGTAATCAAAGAGGAATGACACTATTAATAAAGTCCGTTTAAAGCAGCCATATTGTAGGCTCTGATAAGTTTCCTAGGCTGGAAGCCAGATGTTTTGTGATTAATGAAGTAGTAGGCAGAATGCTGAGCTTGGCACATGTAGAGCATTTTGGAAAGGAAAACAAATAGTAGACCACAGCTTGGTAACTGTCAGAATGAAAAATAAAACTGAAAGGGTTGAATGGTCTTACTTCCAGAGTTTAGGCAAGTGGCCTCGAGTCATCTGTGATCATAGCTTTCTCAGTGAGAGAGAAGTTCCTTGTCTGTCACTTTTAAGTGTCTAAGGAGTAGCAATTCAGTAACTTTGGCACTGTAGGAGTATGGCTCTAGAACTTAAAATTCCACTATAGAATTCTCCCTTTAAAGATGGTCCAAAGCTTCAAAGCATTTTAGCCAGTCTTCCTAGTACTTGTTCCTTGATTTTTTTAAAAACCTATGTCAACAAACTAGGCATACAAAGAGGGAAAGGAGAAACTACTGGCCTGTATGCTTCTCAAATTCACCATGTATGTATTGCTTGTGTTACACAGATAACCACAGACTGTATTTCAGTAAATCTTAATAGCTACCCTTTGAATTCCCTTAGTTCAGCCATTTGGAGAGAACCTAAAGAAAACTACCTAAAAAAAAACAAACAACAATTTCCATGATAACAATGCCTGCATTAATACCAAAGAATGGGTCATAAGGGAAACAAATGGCTGGAATTTAGACGGACAGTGTAGATACTTAAACTTGGTATTTCGGGGTACCTTTGAGCCATGTCGTGGATTCTGTACATTACTACCCCAAGAGTCAATTTGAAGAAAACCAGATGTCTTCCATCTTGTCTTGCTATGGTAGGTCACCCCACAAGGACAGTTCTGAGTACTTAGCCATGAGCTCTAGTGAGGTGAAGCTGTCTCTGCCTGCCACCCTGAACCATGACTTCACTGAACCATGACTACTGAGCCTGATCCTTAATAATTGCGGATGTGCTTGCTTTAACTCTTTAGCTAAATTTCTAGCAGCCTTTTTTTTTTCTTTTTAAATCAGTTACTGCCTTCAGCTTTGCTTGTTAATTCTAACTTGCATTCTATTGGTACAGAAATGGCTCTTTTGATGTCGAGGGACTATTTTCTGCTTCTGCTGGGACAGCAGATGGAATGGCAGCCAGAGCACATCTACTTGTACTCTTCTGAGCAAGTACCTGAGGCTCAGCGCAGTGTGCAGAGAGCAGACTCGGGAGTGGGCGTGGTGTGAGCGCGGTCACTTCTGCAGAGGACGAGCCTTCGGGGAGGCGTGGCAAGCAGTGCTCCGGGAGTGGGCTACGAGTAGATGGTGATCACCTCGCTGCCACCGCCTCGCACCAGGAGGACTCGTTCCAGCCCCTCCGTCAGCACCTCCAGGAACTCCATGTCTTCAGAAGTTGTCAAGGAGAAGGGTGCACCATGCAAGCGGCAAACCGGCCATGCTGCTTAATTACATATTCAGAGCAGGAAAGTCCTTTGTTAGTTTCTAAATGTTATTGAACTGAACCAGCTGGATGCCAGCAGCTCCCGCCTATAATCCTAGCTACTCAGGAGGCTGATAGCTGTTTGAAGCCAGCCCAGGAAGGAAACTCCATGACAGTAGTAGGGCAAAGCAATTAAGATCTCATGTCAAAAAACAAAAAATGAGGTTTGGGGTCAAAACCAAGGGATATAAATTTGTCTACCATGCATTAGGCACTGGACTCAACTCCCAGTATCAGAGGGAAAAACAAGCAGCCGAGTTTACCAGACCCAATCATTACAGTTTCTCTGTGTATATATTCCAGTAGTTACATATCCTTTGGTGCTCAAGGAATGAAAACCTTAATAGTCAAATAGTCTATGTAATAGAAAAAGATTTTCTTTTGGTCTTTAAATACCCTTTACTCTATGGTCAGCTAATGCCCTGATTTCCATTCAGTTAATCAGGTCTCCTACTTTCGTTATTCCTGTGAGACAGAAAATTGCAGTATTCTTCTAAGCAAGGGACGGCTGCACAACCTAAGCTAGAGAAATCAGATTTAAGCTCCAGATACTTTGGCTTTAATAGATGGACGTAAGGAATGAACAATGTCTGGAGCTTGTCACTTCCCGCAGTTACCCTTGCCTGGTGATCAAGCCCTATAAAGGCTCTTATTCCAGATTTTTTTCTGAGTCTGAATCTTCAGGCTTCCTGCCAATTTCGTAAGCTGTGTAATTTCCAAAACCAATTTTATGCCTGCTTTAAAAACCTAAGGATCCTTGCCTTGGCTTTATGTCTTCATCAAAAACAAAATATAGCAGAGACTGATTCTTTTCTCATCTAAGAAACAGGCTAGGGCCGGGCGCTGGTGGTTCACGCCTGTCATCCTAGCTACTCAGGATGCTGAGATCTGAGAATCACGGTTCAATGCCAGCCTGGGCAGGAAAGTCTGTGAGATTCTTATCTCCAATAAATCACTAGAAAACCAGAAGTGGCACTGTGGCTTAAGCAGTAGAACACTCGCCTTGAGCTGAAGAGCGCAAGGACAGCGCCCAGGCCCAGAGTTCAAGCCCCACGATCGACAAAAAAAAAAAAAGAAAAAAAGAAACAGACTAGGAAGGTTCTTTTTCCCTGCTAGTAGCTCCACACTCGGGAAGGATACAGTTTTCATCCCCCTCGGGATTTCGGGGTGGGCCTGGCATATTCAACAGAACCAGCTTTGCGTCATGAGACTTGTTGACGATGACCTCATTGAGCTTCACGGCTGTGTGCATCCGTCTCACATTGGAGTGGTCCCTAGACGGGGAGAAAGAGGAAGTTAAGACTGAAAAAAGATCGTCACAGGCTTAGAAGACTTGAGCCAGAGGACAATGGTGAATAAAACAATGTCTTTACAGTGCTCATCACTGGGTTTTCTTTTTCTGTGTTTTCTTGTAAGCATCTCCATGGAGATGAACTGCATGGAGACACAGAAGATGGTTCACTGTATGCAATGTTTAAGTGGGAGCTTATATTCAGTGGTAAGCAAAGCAGATGGCTGGATTTGGAGTGGTCCTCTGGTGTGTTCAGACAGTTGGCATCTGTGTCACTGACTGGAATGTCACGGGGTAAGCTTGTGAGTGGGAAAACTTACGGCCTCATATTAAGTAGGTCCTGGAACCCTTCCATTGACTTGGCCTTTTGCCCCCGGGATGCCATGTACTTGTCTTTTGTCCAAGTCATGTGCACCTTCTCCTGATAGGTTTCTGTCTCTTCATCCTCATCAGAGCCAATGCTGGTCAATCGGAGCATCGAATTCCGGTCTTTCACCAACTGTGCCTGAGCAAGGTGCAACATGGTTATCTTACCTAATTTCCTTTCACGTGTCAACTATTTTGACCCAATATGGGGTTATATTGGGATAAGTAATGAACCAAGAAGGAAATAATTTGCTTTCCTGTGAAAACAACATGGCGTCATTCCCTTCACCGTCCGACTTCTTCAAAACCAGACTCAGATGACTGCAGTCAGATCTTACCTCTCGGTCACGCTCAGTTTTGGAAAGCCGCATGTGCCGGAGCATCTGGGACCTCTGTTCCATCATCAGAGTGCGCTCGTAAGTATAAGCTGATATGTCGCTGTCATGCTGCCACAGGCATCACCCAGTGGGCAAAAGACAGAAGAAGGTAAGCCATAACCTTTAATTTCCACGCAAATCCAACCTAGTATAACCATCTTTACACCCCTGTTTTGTTCAGATTGTTGGGCTACACAAATACATTACTTTGGGAAGGCAGATCAAATTCAGAGGCTCTAGAAAATACATCTCATGTATTTTCTTGAAACACAAAACTAATGATCTAGCCTGTATTTATGTAGTTATGTGTGATTTTAAGTATGAATTAAAAATTAATAAAATGTATTACACAGATAAGAATCTAGCAGAAATGTGAGTACTATGTAAATAATAAAAGTAGCCCAATCACATAATGTATGCACCTGTTTATCTAGACTGTGAAGTTAGGGTTTTGTTGGAATTAGCAGGTTGACCTACACTTGCAGCTGAACTGCCTCCCAACGAGAAGAGGTTCTAGGACGAAAGGGTGAGGTGGCGGGACGGGTCC